TTCCAGTTCTTCCTCTGGTGCATCCCACTCACTTCAAAACCTTCTCACTCATGTCAGTTCCCTGGGTTTCCACGCAAAGGTCCTACAGCATCTTTTAAGTTTCTTTGTTTCCAGGTGTCATGTAGATGACCATCTCATGACAGAGACAGTTATGCAATGCCAGTTAGTACAGTTGTGGGTTTCATTATCTTTCAGGATCTTCTTCTTTTGATTGAGGGTTTTACAGTGTGCAAAACCCATAGAAGCCTGGTCTGCTTTGCTGTCCACCACTAATGTGCAGTGAGCAAGGGCTGGATGTGCCTTTCTTCTCTTTCTTTCCTGTGCTGGTTTTGACTGGGGCAGAGCTAACTTTCTTCACAGTGGCTAGTATTAGACTATGTTTTGGATTTGTACTTGAACACAGGGTTGGTACAGTAGAGATGTTTGTCTTATTGCTGAGCAGAGCTTGCACAGTGTCAAGTCCGTTGCTGTTTTTCGTACTGCTACACTGGCCTGAAAGTTGGGGGTGCGTGGGAGACTGGGAGGAGACACATCTGGGACAGGTGACCCAAACTGACCAAAGGGATATTCCATACCATATGACATCATGCTCAGTATATGAAGTGGTGGGAAGGGGGGAGGAAGGGGGGACATCTGGAGTGATGACCTTTGTCTTCCCAAGTAACTGTTGCACGTGATGGTCCCTGCTCTCCTGGAGATGCTGAACACCTCCTGCCCATGGGAAGCAGTGATTGAATTCCTTGTTTTGCTTTGCTTGTATGTGCAGCTTTTGCTTTCCCTATTAAACTGTCTTTATCTCAACCCATGAGGTTTCTAGCTTTTACCTTTCTGTTTCTCTTCCCCATCCCACTGGTGCTGGAGTGACCTAGTGGCTGTGTGGAGCTTGGTTGCTGGCTGGGGTTAAACCACAACACTTCCCCAGCCCTATATTCCTTTAGCCACTTGTCATTCAAAGAAATGATTACAGGAAGGCACTGATATTTTAATACATTAAAAATTGCTTGCAAAGAGATCTGAGTTAGTGCTATGCTTCAAAGCACCTTGTATTTAAAATACATTTAATTTTTTTTTTCTTTGATCGAGTGGACATATGTTGTTGAATTATGCCAAAAAAAGAATTTCCTGTTGTGTTTTCAGGAAGAATGATTTAGTTAATATGTATGTCTCTTCTGTGCCTGTTCAGGTGAACTGAGATATCTCTAACGTAAGCAACAGGCACAAACATTTTTGCTGTGAGAGTGATCAAACACAGGAACAGGTTGCCCAGAGAGGATGAGGAGTCTCTGACTATGGAATTACTCAAAACCTGAGTGGACATAGCCCTGAATGACTAGCTCTAGGTGACCCTGCTCTCAGCAGGGGCTTGGACTACGTGATCTCCAGAGGTCACTTCCTACCTCAGCTATTCTGTGGTTCTGTGCAATGTGTGATATTGAAATATGATTACTGGCAAGAAAAAAAATCATCTGCTGTAATTAAAAAACAAGTATTTGCTTCTTCATTTATTGAAGTTATGTTTGTAACTTGTAAGCCCGGAAGAAACCTAGGTTGTTCTGCTTGCATTAGATCTGTATTGATCATCATAACAATGAAGGAAAAGTGCAAACCACTTAATTTCTACTTCTGGTGTTGCCCAGTAGGATTCTTTATCATAACTTCAAGAAGCAATTTTGTT